CCCCCGGACCCTGGCCCCGGCCACGCCACGCCACGCCACGCCCATGCCGTGGCCCCGCCCCCACCGTGGCCCCTTAAGAAACAATGGTGCAGGACGGCGGTTCTCAACCCGGCGGCAGAGGAGTCACCCAGGGAGCTTTAAAAATTGCTGCGTCTTGGTCTCCACCCCAGGGGTTTTGATTCGATTGCCAGGGGGAAGCCCAGGCACCAGCATTTTATATAAAAACACTGCATGAGGTGATCCTCATGCAGCCAAGGTTGAGACGCCCTGGGGTAAATGATGAGTAGAATCGGAAAGACAGGCGTGAGACACAGCACTGTCCCTGCCAGGGCGCTGTGACTTGGGTGCAGGTGTGCCTGGACACTGAGATCCCACCAGTCACTGCCGGCCACGAGGCGCCCCCGCCAGTGACCTCGATGAATTGAGCACACGTCAGGAACTTCCGTGGGTCACGACTTGTTAAAGACACAAATTTGTAGGGCCTGGGGCTTCCGTTTTCTTTAGTTTCGCCCCTGCCGTTTGCCATTTTTTAGAAGGCAAAGGTGAGGGAGGCATTATCCCGTCCCTCGCGGGGCTGACGGCAGGGCAGGGGCAGGGGCAGGGCCAGGCGAGTGAGGTGCCCAGTATACACATCAGGAGGCAGTACCCACCGGCAGGACCATGCACGTGCACCTCAGGTGTCACCAAGCCCCATCACAGCCCAGGTGCCCAGTCTTACGTAGGAAGAGATATCAATAACCAAGTCTAACGCCACGTAACAGGTGGCATAGTCAGAGTCTCTAAGGCACAGCTGAAGCGGAGAGGAAGGGGTCAGCTCTTCTTAGGAAAACATCCTTTGGGGTTTTCAGCGAGTGTCCCTCTGGGGAAACCTGCACTGTTTTGCCCTTTCCCTGTAACAGCGGAGAAGGTTTCATCTTGAGTCGCTGGACACACTCTCAACGGCCTGACCCGATGGACTGTACCCTGCAGGCTCTGAGAGCAAAATCCTGCTCGTTAGGGTCTCAAGTGAGAAGGGGGAAGAGAAGAAATGGGCTGGGTTTATTGAATGAGGAAATGATCACAGCCCGGAGTTTGGGCCCAGAAGCATCGTTAACTCCCCCTTCTACCCAAACAGTCGTGAAACCCAGTGGGGTCCACCTCAAACTGGTTCTGAGGTTCTCGGACTTCGGGAAGGCCATGTTCAAACCTATGAGGTAAGTGACTGCTCTCCTCACCTCCATATGCACAGCTGTGGCAGCCCTGACCAAAAGTGAATAAAAGTGGTCTAAAGTCTTTAAGCCAAGCATTTATAGACTCTCTTTGGGGGCCATCTGCACAAGCGTACAACTGTTTTGGTGATAACGATTCAAAACAGTAAGAGCTGGGTCTTTGCTAGTGTTTCTGCTACACACTTGACATGCATTGTGCCTTTGCATCATCAACCATCTTATGAGTCGGGGACTGTTACAATGTCCACTTTATGGATGAAAACACTGAGGCCGGGAGAGGCCAGCTCGCCCCAACCTCCCAGCTGCAAGCAGTGGGAGCAGGATTCAAACCAGGCAGCTGGACTGCCAAATTCACACTCTACCTCCAGAAATGAGCCTCGCTTTTTTCCAGGGCTAGGACCCTCAAAAAAGGTTAGAGATATCTACATAGTAATACTTGTTTTGATTGAAAAACTAGACCATGAAGAAAGGCTACCCTGAAGCCAATCACACTTTTTAAAAAAACTTTTATGTATTTATTTTTTATACAGCAGGTTCTTATTAGTTATCTATTTTATACATATTAGTGTATGCATGTCAATCCCAATCTCCCAGTTCATCCCACCACCATCACCCCCCCCTCCCCGCTTTCCCCCCTTGGTGTCCATACGTTTGTTCTCTACAGCCAGTCACACTTTTAAATTAATTTCTATTTGATTCGTAACAACAGCAAATACATGCCTTCAAAATTTTGTAGTGTGTCTGTGTGGGCAAAATAATAGGTATTCAGTCTACGGACAGAGCTTGGTGTGCGTATGGGTTCCTGGCCCCCAAAAGGGTCTGCAGCAGAGGTTAGAGATTCCTGAATCAGGAATGGTCCCCTGGACACGACACGCCCAAGAGAAAATGGCCCAGGAGGGGTCTCAGTACCCAAGTCATGCTTTCTGCCAGAAAGCACGGTCTTCCGGTGGAATCCCATTCGGCTGACTTAGATTCCGAAACTTCCGTCAACGGAGAGGCCTATTGAAGGCCCTGTAGGTGGGTCTGACGGTCGAATGAGCACCAAATAAAGAGTCTTAGCTCTGATCCCTGCACTGCCCTAGCAAAAACCCTTATAAAGCACCAAGCACTTACATACTTCGGCATATAAAGTACTAAGGAGAGCTTTATAATACATCAGCTGCGCGTTGAATCACCTGGGAAGCCTTGAAAAACCCCGATGCCTGAATCCCACCCTCAGGGGGTCTAATAGGATTGGTCTGGGGGCCCCCCTCTAATCCCAAGGCAAGGACAGCCTTGAAAACCACTGCCGCACAAGGAGATCCTCCATTTTTCCATGTGAAAATCCAAAAAACTAGTCATTTGGTCAATTAAATAAATAACGATGTATTGGGAGATTGGGATTGGCATATATACACTAATATGTATAAAATAGATAACTAATAAGAACCTGCTGTATTAAAAAGAAATAAAATTCAAAAAAGAAAAGAAACAGATGGAGTACTACAAAATTAAATAAATATATAACGATGTACATGAAACGAGGGAATGTCTGCCTCTGTTTAATTTACCAATGAAAAAAAATCTCATCATATAAAACAATACAGAGATTTGGAAATATTGCTTCCCCCCCGCCACCCAGTCTCACATGTCACTTGTCCAAAATTTTTCACATTGGTCCTCAGCATCGCTGGAGTCGAGTTTGGGGTCAATGTTAAATCCATGTTAAATTCTGCCCCTGTCACCACCAGCAGCCTGTTTTAACCAGTTCAGTCAGGTAATAAAAGCAGCATCTCAGCTGAATGAATCTGTCCCAAACAAAATAAAGAAATTGAGAGGGAGCCCTTGAATATGTTAAGACTCCCTTTTCTGAGGGACAGTTTGGGGAGGGGGGGGTCTCATCTTATATTCAAGCCTATAAAGTACTAAAAAGAACTGTGTTCCTTTTAAAAGAGAGCGACAGCTTTGCGCACACAGGGCTATCAGCCCAGGTCCAGAAGCAGGCACAAGATTCTTGGGTGCCACTCAGCTGGACACAGAGCCACCGTCGTGTTTGGGCCATTGGAGAGTTTTAAATGATCGTTATGGTTAGTCGTGCATGTTTAATGTATAGTCCTAACTGAGCATCAGTTAGAGAGGAAGTAGAAGGAACACTGATGTAGAAACATGAGATGTTAAAGAGAAGCGTCAAAATAATGATAAATCTGCAAATTCACCATTTATCGCCAGATCCACGAATTGCACTCTCTGAGCAAAATTCGTATGTGGCACATGAAGATGTCTGTAATTTTTAAAAACTGGGAGCTAATAGAGAGTGGATGAGCTCTATTTGGGGGAGAAAAAACTACTCACACTTGTAGTGTTCTGTTTGCAAGAAAGCCCATGAAATAACAGCCTCAAATCTCTTCTCTGCCTTGTCAATTACGAACAAAACGCAAAAAGTGCTCAACTGAACCAGCTGTTTCCCTGACTATAATGCAAAAGCTTCCAACATTAGGTCACAAAAGCCATTTGATCTACGCTCACGCCATAACACAAAGTTTAATCTGCGTTTTCTAAAATTTAGTCCCAAGCCAAAGTATCATTTTAAAATGTATTTCTTGAAAAAGCATGCATTTTTCTCCTACAAGTAATGTAAAGTAAACAGCATTTGTCCCTTTTTAAAAAAGGAGAGTAGAAATTTATCTTTGGGAAATACAAATTCTGACCACAAAGATTGTATTTTTAATGTGATATAATTCAATAGATGCAAAGATGAGAAATACATCTGTGCTTCTCAAGCTTTGGGAAGCACCGACGTAAAGCAGAAATGATTTTCAAATTTAAAATCATGCCTAAATATGCCAAACAAAAATGAAGAAATGATGGTTTAGAAAATTCTAAGGGGCATCCCAGAGATTGTGTATTCTCTCTTTTTTTTTTAATTTTTATTTTTTCTTTACCTTTTTTTTTTTTTTTTTCCTGGCCAGGGGTTAAAGCCGTGGGTCGCAGCAGTGAAAGTTCCAGGTCCTAAACGATGGACCGCCAGGGAATTCCCAGACTGTGTGTTCTTACACACAGAATTCAGGAATGAGAACGAGCTGAGGACACATGGACAGCCCTTGCTGACCTGGACATTCGGCGATGCTATAAGCAGCCCTGGGTCAGGCCTGGGCCATACTCTAAGTGTGGCTGCACCCTTTAAAGGAGAGTGCCCACTCTGGGCAGCCCCTTGCCGTGGTTTCCAGGACTGGCTGGTGTTTGGGACGAAGCGCCCATCACTGTTTCCATTTCGGGCGCCGCGTACTTACAGCTCATTACACAACATTACGCCGATTTACATTTACATTGCTTTCACAGCCCTCGTGCAGCCCCGCACGGTGGATTATAAAATTATTTGAAGATCATCCTTTTTCCAAGGATTATCATCAGCACTGAGGCCAGTCATCCTGGGGCCGGCAGCCGGGATGCCCTTCATATTACTGGGAGGCACCTAAACATACATACCCAGCCGGCCCTTCATGACCAGGCAGGATGGTGCTTTTCAGGAATCTAGTAGGGATTCTTTAATGTATATAAGTACATATCCTGTGCACTAGCCTCCCTTCAATCTCTGGCAGGACCCGCTCTCACGACCCAGGTGAGGTGCCTCCGAGTAGACGGTCGATTCACAGACCCAGAACTTTTTGCTCTTCCGTGTCGGTCATGCTAAATTGCACCTGTAGGGCACTTTTCCTTTTATAAAGTTCTGTCTCGTACCCCACCTCTCTTAATCCTTGGCCCCCGGGCGTACACAACCTCTGGTGTGTTAGCCAGCGCCCTGTCTTCTGTGTATCCGCGGAAGAATGGATTTCTTCCCTCCAACCACTGGGCTTTTCAGAGAATCAGTGGCCGTCACCAGAGCTGCTCGAGAAGGAGGCTTGGCACCCGGCGGCCTCCAGGATGGTCCGCATCTTGCAAGAAGCTTTGCTCCTCCTGCCTGCCGGTCTCCCCAGCCGAGGGAGCCACGGGCTGTTCCTGATGTGCTGTCCCATCATCCGTGCATCCCTGAAAAGCATAAAAGCGTGTCTTCCTTCCCGTCTGGTCACGTGTGTCAGCTCTCTTCTCAGGCTCCCAGCGGAGGTCTGAGTCCAGGGCGTGACCCCTTCCTTCCAGGCAGCTGCGAGACGAAGAGACGCCCGAGGACTTCTTTTACTTCATTGATTTTCAGAGACACAACGCTGAGATTGCAGCTTTCCATCTGGACAGGTAGGGTCTGGCCCCGGGGAGGCGGCGCTGACTGCGGAGGGCCATCCCCC